ACCAGATGAGTGTTTCTCGTAATTTGAGAAGCGTCTACATTGCTGTTGGTGGTAACTGGAGCAGCTCGTTGGTCCTCTTGCTGGTTGTTTCCCATGGATCTGGGCAAAATACTGGACATACTAGTAGAGTTGGTCGGATTTAGATCGATGTCCATATCGTTATCCGTCTGGAAAATCGATTATTAATATCATTTCATGATTATAAAATGTTAATATTTTATTGAGATACTTTTGTGTCGATACGCGTAGGCTCTAAAACCATATCGCTCACAGAAAATGCATTCACCTGCAATGTAATTTGGTTCATATCAAACGAATCGAATTGTGACATGAATATGGTATTGCTCGATGATTCCAGATTCTTGTTTTGCTCATATATAATATTGAGCACCGGTTGTTCTCTGGAATTGTTGAGAGAACTCGTATTCGCCTCGTCCATCTGCCTTGGTAGATTGTTTGCTCCCAGCCCGAGATTCATGTCGATATTAAACAGTTGCTGATTCAGAGTCTCTTCGATCTCTCGTATGCTTTCCTACAAAATTTTCCAAACGTCTCACTCATCACTCTTTATATTACAACAAATTTATAAATCTCTTATGAATATTGGAATTACCGGCGTGAGAGTTTGATCTCCTGAGTAATTAGGTAACGTGATAGTACCGGTTTCATCGGCGTGTAACGTTTGTGACGTTCCTAAATTAGTTGTGTCGACAGATAAATTTTCTGAAATCATATATATAAATAGATTTAATTCTCGTTGATTTCTTCCGGCATGCTTAATTTATTTTTCTGTAAAATTTTGCGTATAATTTATATCTTTTGGAAAACATACGATTCACTATCGACGACGTTGCGTTGTCCGGGAGTAAAAAGGATTTCTCTTTCTCCGCACTGAGACTTTGAAACTGATCGGAGAAGGCCTGTGTAAAATCTGGCGCCATTTGCGGTTGAAACGACACCTCCATATCTTCGGCGAGAGTGATGCTCCCCGGTAATGCTGAGGTAGCTCCTTTATCCTCGCTTAGAGGCTGCGGCTCCTTCTGATTCTGCGTCTTTTGTTCCTCTAATTGCTGTTCATGCGTATGAAATTTTAATAATTCTAATACTTTCTACAACATACGTTAAATATACCAACCCGTTGCGCCAGCTCGTGCTTGTGACTTTTTATGTGCTTCCGGCAATTGACGTTTGTTTTAAAAGTCTTTTGGCAGTACGGACACATGTATGGTCTTTTATTGCTATGCGTGACTAAGTGCCTCTTCATGCTGCTCTGCGTGGAGAATTTCGTGTCGCACATCGAACAACTGTACGGCCTCGCGTCGTCGTGCGTATGCAGGTGAGATTTCAAAACGCTGTTCGTTGTAAATCTCCTGCAAACCAAGAAATATAAGCATTCTAATCGATACGCAATGTAAGATATATTAAAAGTTAAATTATGCAAATAGATTGATCGAAAAATTTCTTTTTTTTTGTGTGTGTATATACACGGTGTGTATATACATATGGTTCTTATACTAAAGAGATTTTTTTATCAATTTGATATTAGACTACAGAAACGTCAGATCTCGAACCTGTCGCACTTGGAGCACTTGTAAGGACGCTCGCCAGTGTGCCTGCGATAATGTTGTTTCAAGTGGCTGACTTTTCTGAACGCTGCGTGACAGACCCAACACTCGTGCGGCCTGGCCACACTGACACTTTCGTACAATTGTTTCTGTTTCGACTGCACCTGCACCACGCTGATTTTATTATCGGCATCGCTGATGACGAGCGGTTCTTGCAGTACCACTTGCGGCACTAGGCTCTCCGCTTCCGGCGATATCTTGGGCTTCTCCCGTGCGTGACTCTTCATGTGATTTTTTAGGATGATGCTCGCGCTAAATGACTTGTCGCATATGTTGCACTTGTGCGGTTTCGTGTGTAATCTGAGATGAGAAAAATGATTTTTATTAATAAACATTTGGATTGATCTTGTTATGTCTTGTGCAAAAAAAAACCAAGAAAGGGAAAGATAGATGCATATGCAAAATGATAAATTAAATTATATAAGAAACGTTGAAACTTGCCTCGTGTGAGAGGTAAGGCTGCTATGACACGCGAAGGTTTTGTCGCAGGAATCGCAGGCGTATTTCTTCAATCCGGTGTGAGTCCGCTCGTGCGCTATCATTGTCGACTTTAGCGCAAAGGAACGCACGCAATACATACACTGAAAGTTGCGAAATAAGTCAGATGAAACATCGCGATCCATATTTTCGAATGAAATAAAATTTTAATTACCTTGAAGGGCTTCTCTTGGGTGTGTACGCGCAAGTGACGTATCAAGTCCGACGGCTTTTTGAATTCTTTCGGGCAGAACGAACATGCATACCACCGTACGTTTCCTACGCAGCGCTGTTTTATAGTGACATACTTCCTGCGAATGTAGATAGTTGCTTATTACACAAATATAAAATTTCATCTATTCCGTCATCATATACAATTTTTTTATTTGCCGATCTACTTTTCATCACGATTTTACGTTCCCCGTAGAGTGAAAATTATTACCTCGAAGTACCACCAGCGGTTCTATCCAACAGCGTGACATACGACGTTGGCGAATCCGTTTTCTTCGGTTCCGCGGTTTCTGCGAGCAAAGGAATTAGGTATTTATATCATTCGAAGTAACAACACTTATAGAAAATTACATTTATAGAATATTTTATATTCATATTCAGATGTTTATCACTTAATGAATGGCAAATAAAACAATTACCTTTCGAAGTGCCTTCGTTTTTGTTCGGCAAGCCGCTGATTTTCAATGCTTGTTGCAGAATATCATTCTGTTCCGCACTTAGCGTCGCGGTTCTCGTGGAATCTGCGGTATTATTCACGACGGATTCCAAAGATGCCAATTGCGATATGACGCTGTCGACGGTCGCGCGCATGTCAGCTTCCGACGAGATATTGGAATTAGCTTCCGAGGACTTGGCGACAGATTCCTATAAACAAGCGCAACGTTTATAATCCCAATCATTCTATATCATTCTGTGTAATAAGTATTGCACTTACCTCCAAAGAAACGGAATGCATTCGCTTTATGTGTCCATTTAAACTGCCCAGCTTCTTAAAGATGCAGGAGCAATAAGAACAGGCGTACGTGGGCTCACCTTCTGGCGCATTGTGTACCCTGAGTATATGCGCCTTTAGATTCCCTGGAAAATTAGACAGTAAAACTCGTAGCGATTTAAGATTCGTATGATTTCCAGCACATTACAGACAGATGTTTCCGAACTGATGATACTTATGACCAAAAAAAGATGATTTATGCAACACGTGCATGGAAAGTGCCCCATTACGCACGCTATGCGTGCGTGATAGACCACTTTCCAGGCACTTGCAACATAAAATAGGGTGTGTAAGCCGTGCGTAAAGATGAAAATTCCCGGGTGCGGAGTTTACGCACGAGCCGAAGGTGAGTGCGGTAACCGCACCCGGGAATTTTCATCTTACGGCACTTGTTACACAAATAACTATTCTGTGAAAAAATAATACAAAAATGCAAAATTTTTGTCTAGAAGACTCTTTCCTTGTGTTTCAGGAAGGATTATTGTGAAGATTAATAACATATTCGCACTTCCTTAGGCTTAACTCATTTTCTCTTAGATTATATTATCAGTTCAGAGACATTTGGTATATATAAATGTTAATTACGAATTCTCCCAAACCTTTTTGACTAAACTTGGCGTTACAGAGGCTGCAGGTATGCGGCCGAATCCCCGTGTGTTGCCACGTATGGATTTGCAACGAATTCCTTTGCGTGAACTTCTTGTTGCACATGGTACACTGCATAAGAAAAAGCATATGTATGAAACTATTGTTCAAGGTATTAATGAGTCTCTTTCGTAAAACGTTTACCTCGAAGGGCTTTTCTCCGGTGTGTACTCTGATATGTCGCATCAGTTGGCTCGGTTTTTGGAAACTCTTCAAGCATATGGTGCATTTGTACATTGTTTTATGTTTCGTTCCCCTCTTAGTTTGCTTTACTATCTTCGTCTGTAGCTGTATAGAAATAATAAACGCGATAAGACTCCCGGTCACAGACGCGATCTGTTTATTAGAAACGTAAAAGCGCTCCCAAGGAAAAAATAGGATGAAGCGAAGAGAGAAGCTACAGTTTTATGCAAAAGGAAAAAAAAGGGTAAAGAGTCTAACAGAACATTGATAGTGTTATTGATCCACTCATCAAATGTAACAGTAAGTAAATTCGATAAATTACTTAATAAATTCTTCCTATTTACCCTGTAATGCTCGCGAATGTGCATTCGGTAGAGTGCGGGCTGGACGAACTGTTTGTTGCATAATTTGCACTTTCGCACATCCTCGCTCGCCCACTTCTCTCCGTGAAGTTTTAAATGCGCGTCCAATTGAGCCTGTTACAATACACGTACAAATAATTTAGATCTTAGAAATAATTGTAAATTATTTTATATCATCTATTTCGTATCATTCGTGTGCGAAAGCTATTTCATCTATTTAATTCTCCATAAAGTACACATCTTCGAGCATCCTTGCGGCTGTTATGTATAATAATTTTAGGGATTACTGAGATTGATGTACCTTATAATACTGAGCGCTGATACCAAGTGCGAGATGGAACACGCGCGTGCAGATGAAGAGGAGCGCGAAATTCAGGCAGTCTACGGCGAACGACATATCGGAAGACGGCACCGTGGCTCGGATTATGTCGTGTAACATAAAGTAATACGCGCCGGCGGGCAGTGGGTACTTATATGGCAGTGCTTGGAGCAAAAAGTAGGACGAACACAACGCGGTGACCCACCGAATTATCGTGGATACCGATCGGCCGTTTCGAAGAAACGCCTTTTTCGCAGTATCAACGCCGATAAAGAATGAACACAACATTGAACACGAAAATTTGACTGTTACTATCGCGTCTTCGATAGTAAATTGAATCGCGCGTATGCCGCGCGTACACAGAATTCCGCTAATGACTCGCGTCGGGCGATAAATCCAGACTCCAAAGTCGCCCGCAGCGACTTTTCATCATCTAGCGATAAAGACAACCGAAGAAGGAAGGAGCGAAGTAAATTGAAAATCAGACTACTCGTCTTGGAGATCAGACTACTCGTCGAGCGATTAATTATACGTGGAGCTTTATTGCATTATGTCCACATGGTGGTCGCATTTTGCGATGCGGTAGCCGAACGAATGCAAGAACTCGGATCCCACTCTCTCTTTCTTCCTCCCCTCTCTCTCTCGATACTTTCTTCCGCTACGCTCTTCTTCCTTATCTTCTCTCGGAGAATTTCATATCAGAATATATAATAATTCTCTTTTCGTATCTTGTCTCTCCTTTTTCTCTACCTCTGTATATCTTCCCCGTTTATCTTTCTTCAGCGAATTTCATCTCGCGCTGCATACGTAATATAATTCTCTTTCTTTTCTTCTCGCAGCGTCCAAAGCTGGCAGGGACGGTTTCAAGACGGATCTCGAGATCGTGGGGATTACCGTGCTCTTTTAATCCCGCGCATCGCCTCCGGTATTGCGTCTGCGAAGGAGGACATTGCACTTTTTCCGGCACGCATACTGTTAGCGGTCCAGCCGCGGCAGTCACCTCCCCTCTCGCCCTTTTGATCTTCCCAAAGACGTCCGATCTTCTTTCGTCTCGTTCTTCTTATTCTCCCTTCCGCCCACGGATCGCACTTCTCTTCTTCTTCCGCTTGATCGACCTCCCGTTTCTTCGTCTTCTTCTCTCTCGCACGTTTCCCTCTTCCGAGTTTCGTCCTCCCGTTCCAGCAGCAGCAGCAGCAGTCTTTTTTCTTTCTTCGCGATGACGAAATTTCGATTCAACAACGACAAGCCCGCCGCTCGCATCTCGGATTCCTCAAATACTGTCGACAAACGCCACTGGCGATCTGCATAAGTAAACTTGAGACGGCATAACTCGTAAGTCTGTTAAAATTTTACGATAGGCGAAAATTTTAAGACTGGCAATATTCCAGATGAGATGACAGAAAAAGAAGTTCTTTCAGTGATTCTTCCTTTGCGACCCTTACATGAAAAACTGAAGTTTCACAACGAAAGCGTTTCAAAATATATTCTATAAGTCTATAGGGCACTATACGGTTTGCCGTAATAATCATTCACAATCATTAATTGAGAAATAAAACATCTAATAAAATGTGGGGCAATGCGTGAGATTAAGAATATCTCTTCCGTCTTCGTGAGCCTGGATTTTATCTCATTTGCTGGCAGCGTCCGAAAGAAAAATCTAGATTGGATCGACGGATACATTTCGTTGCAGCGATTCTCTTTACAATGAAGCGCATTGAATCACCAACGCACGGAACATCTAATCACGTCGGACGTAGCGATTCAGGAAACGACCTCCGGCGATACACCGCCCACCCTTGAGGAGAGCGCATCCTCGCTAAACCACTCTCCTATATTTCGCTTCTTGTCATCAAACACTCGTAGATTCGTACAGTCGTGTAAAACAACACTCTATCTGAATGGGAATTAATGTCGAAGAGAACGCAGAGCTTTTTGTAAAAACGCGTTACAGCGTCGGAGAGACTTCACTGGGCCAAAGGACCGAAGAATCAGCTTTGTAGCTTCTTTCCAGCGTCATCTTCCCTTGTCATTCGGAGATGAGGACGATCTGGGCAGCGCGAATCATTGCACAGCGACGGACGGGCAATTGGCGTGTCAAATGTCATGCGGGCGCGGGCGACGCGAATGACTCGAGACTGAAGAAGTAGGAAGAAGAGGTTCGACGGCGCGCGTTCTTAAGGGACGGAGTTCCTAAAATACGGTCTCGAGGAAGCGTCATCGGTTTCCCCGTATTAAATCGCTCTCTTTCTCGCCACCGTTCCCCACGCCGTCGTAGATTTCGCCGATCGCCTCCCTCTGGTCTTCATCTTCTTCAACGCGCGTCACGCCGCGGTCGGATTATTATTGCTTCGTGCGTAAACACGAGCGCGAAACGGGCCTTTGCGAAAGATCGCGCTGTCGCTCCGGGCGTTAAGTTTCTTCCGCGAAGAAAACTTGATCTTCCGTATGCCTTCGAGGTATGACACAACGCGGTACGACCGCCGGATCGTTTTTATAATCTCAATTCGATCGCGATAATTAAATATCGCTCGCAGGACGGACGAGCGATCCCGACGGAGAGTCAAGCGATTTTCAGGGTTAATGTTACTAATAATAGCGAGTTATCATCGGAACGGCCGGCTATATATCCTCACTCTTCCCGGTAAAGTTCAACGGTTCGTTTCTTATCAACGGCGGTCGCATTATCGGCGCTTTTATTTCGCCCGACGATCCTTCCTCTCCGCCGTTCACTTCTGCCTCCCTCGCGAACTCGTTTTGTATTCGTTATCCCCTATCGATGCACGTTCACCGTAGATTATCAATCCGAGACGCATCGAGCACCGACTCCACCTAAGCAACAAAAACGCACGTCAATTATTCATGCTCGGAATTTTTCTCCCTTTTTTCTTTAATATATAAATTTCGTTTCACGTGTCGCACGCATCGTGTATTAAAAAGAGACACCATCTGCACGATTTCTATTACGATCTTCGAGGTTTTCGGGGAAAGGCGAGGGACCACCGCGAAGACGTTTCAAGTCCGACGCCAGAAAAAATATACGAGTCCGTATGGACGAGCGTGTAAAAACTGCCGGAACGACCGTAAGCTGTGTTTTTCAAGAGAAGAAGTTCTTCCCCGTCGATATTTGGTAGAAGACGAGATATTACAAAATACAAAATTGAGTGTCCATTGCCAAATGATCTTGCAAAGAAATAGTTCGTTCCGGTCGCGTGTAAATTACTTGCACATTTATTTTTCAAGTCCTTTATCCCTTCGGTGGTAAATTCCAACGTTGCAGAACACCAACGAAATACGTGCAAGTAACTTTCGAATGTATGATCATTATTTAATCAACGCATCGCGCAACACATTCCTTAATTAATCCAATAAGGAGAAGTTAAATAGTTTTGCGGCCACGCCATCTTGCAGATAAATAAACATATAAATTCTCGCGGCGAATCTCAGTGATATGCTCTTGAAGTCTCTTGACTTCAACAAAATCGCACGTTTCGTAAAAGGGATACGCGTTCGGCAACGGGATGACGAAAGCGCGTGCATGTGTACGCTTCGCGAGTACCCGCTGCTCACTGACGAAGCGGCTGTAAATGTCGCTTACGTCGTCGTCGAAATCATATTCGTCGTCATCGTTATCGGTTCTCCTTTCTCCCCGCGAGTTGCTTTGAGATTCATCCGAGAAATGTCATAGTAAATGAATCATATTAGATCTAATAGCTTGAAATTCAAATCCGCACTATTTTTATATGAACAGAGAGATTGTTTCTCTGTATCTTCCTCAATCTTCTTTAATTTTCCTCATTTTTCTAAAAGTAATTATTTTTCATATTTCTTAGCCTTTTTCATCTTCAAATATGCTTCTTCATGTTTATAATGATTTTCTTTAAATTTCTGATTAAAATTAAGATGCTTATATCACTTCCTCTCCTTGGTCTTCCTTTACATAAACTAAATCCTCAAACTTACAATCCTATCTTAATACATCCACGATTTTCTCTATTTTCTCATCGATTCTCTCTTCTTGTACCTAAAATGAATATTTGTGTATACTCAAATACACTGACCGAGACGGATGATACGACGATGCAACGTTTCCTGGAGTCTGTTCCACATTTCGCCCTCACACGCGCGTTCACGCGTGTGCGTGGACGTGCGGCGCGTGTCGGCAGCCAAACGCGAGGGCAATCGGCGAGAGATCTGTGTGAGATCATACGATTCGGTTGCGTAATTCGTGCGCGCCCCATTAATACAGCCGCCGTCGCCGCCCACTTGCCCACGTTTTACGGCCCACGTTGCTATCACGGTCACGCGTGATCGCTGCGACGATCGGCGATGATCCCAATCGATTCCTATTTTCTTAATATTGTCTTCGTAAACTCGGGCACGTGTGGGATCGCAACGTTATATCGAAGACGTCTTCTTCTGACAGAAAAACTCACACGTTTCTTCTCGCTGGCCGATCAATTAAAACGCTCGATCGAGGACATCGCGCGTTATCTCGAATGCATGATTCATTAATTCCGTTCCCTGCAAATTATTGCTAATGGTGCTTGTTATACAGATACTGTTATGAATATGTAGCAGAGATGAAGCAGCTAAATACCATTTTGATGCTTGCGAAGTGTGCAAGGCCGATTACAGCTGGTGGCATACTTTGAAGACGCTATGAGATAATGTCCTCTTAATCTTCGAGAGCATTGAAGGGAATTATTAAATCATCTCCTTTATTTCTTTGACTGCAGTCGGTCGCGGGTCGACATACGGCGAGAGAATCGCGGGTTCCTATTTTCTACGATCGTTTTGATTTTGGCTGGCTGGCGCCAAGCAATAATAAATCGTTATGGGTCACCGAGATCGACCCTTGATTAGACGGAGTAACATCCGTTTTATATCGAGCCGTTATATCAGCAGGACCAAACTTGTTCGTTGTCTAAATCTTATTCGTTGATAATAAATAGTTCTTACCGATCGTTCAAACAACCGACGCTGTGAAACAATGATAAGTACATTTCGAAGAATAGATTCGCGCGTGTTAAATAGGTAATTAGAATTTGTATGTTATCAATTGAGGTTTATGAACGCCAACTCGGGCACGTGGATCAATTGAGGAACGAATGAACGAGCACGAGGCAATGCAGCCAGCACTTTAGACCTTAGCCGCAATAATTATGTATATCGTATTCGCAATGACGAATGTTATCAGTAGGTCGGTCTGCGCGATCAGCAGAAATGCGCTAGCAGGACAGAGCATCGATAAGGTAATCTTAACGCGATACAGCTCTTATGTATATACAGACCGTTTCAAATCACCAGATTGATATTTCAAGACCCGTCTTTTTTGTGACAATTATCGAAATTGTACACAGAAATATTGAATCTTCGGCTGCTTGGTGATTTTAGAAATGAATTATGTTTATACGTACAAAGAAATAAGAAGCGAATAATTTCAGACTTACCTTCGTCGAAAAGGCGTCCTCGCACTCCGTGCAAAAGAGATTCTCCTCCTTTTCGTGCAGCAACATGTGAGACTTGAGACTCGCCATTCTCGCATATTTCCTACCGCATTCGGGACATTTTGGGTCGCCGGTATTATGCGTTGCCATATGAAGCGTGAAATTTGTCTGTAACGATACCATTGTGTGAAGTTACTAGACTGAATCCGTTCATTGCATCTAATATCAAGAAGCAACTTTCTCTTGCTACTATTAATCTAATTCTAATAAGAGATTAGCCGGCGATCAAGCAGATTTATTCAACAAAAATTATTTAAATATACGTTTTGCAATCCTAATTGTTTTATATATATTTTCTGTTTGATATTATCTTACTATGTTATATATATTAATTAAAATAAATTAAAATGATAAAATAACGTATATATAAGTATAGTGACTTGATAAATATTTTCTTTTTCTAAAGACAGAACATAATCATGAGATTCTTTTAAAGAGCCCTTTGATAGAAAAGAAAAGGACTTACTGGAATATTAAATGATGCTGGACATTTGGGACATCTATGCGGTTTCTCTTCCGCATGATTTTCCATATGTCTGCGGTACAATGTTTGTTTAGTAAATTCCTGCCTGCATATATCACACTTCAGAGACTGCGCATTCTATGACAAAATATTAATAATACAATTTTGTGATAAGAATAATTCAGAACTATGGTATAATATAAAATAAAATAATTCCAATATATATCACGCTAAATATAAATCTATTTTAAATAACTCAAGACGATAAAAATATCCTCAAGCTGTAGATACGTTAATCGATGATATTACATACTTGCGAAGTTACTCCAGTCTTTTTCGGTCTCCCTGGAGATCTTTTGTAGGCGTTCTGTATCATGGATACAGTTGTCGATTCGTTTTTAACATGATTGTCAACTGTTGATTGCCCTTTGTTTGATAACACATTACTAATAGGTAATAAAGATTCCGTAACTCCACATTCGTTTGTATCCTGTACTTTCAATTGCTCCGTGACTGCAGATGCATCCTCAAAATGTTGCATCAGTGGCAGTAGGTTTGTTTGTGGCATCACAGTTCCCGACAGACCATCCACATTCAATTGGAAAACAGACTGAAAGAAGAAAAACGCGTCGTGTCCAACAAATCTCGATGTTGCTCAACGTTTTCAAGATACTATTAAATCCACATACCGGATGTAAAATAAAACTTCCATCCACAGTCTTTATCAATGCCGGGGACACCATGTTATTTTGTGGCATTAAAGTGATTGGTGCTGCCATAAATTCCAGCGTGCCGTCCTCATGTTCTAAAAAAAAAAAAAATCAAATCTTCAGCGATTTCGCATAAACAAAACATATATGTTTATTAGATAATCTCTCTGTTCACTTGCACGTTTACTTAAATTACAATTCTGATAAGCTTAGTACATTAGTGAACAACGTGAAATTTTGAACATGTAGATTGTAGATAAACTTTTTAATTACTGTGTATAGAAAGCTACAGAATGTATGCATTGCAGTTATAGAATTATGTACACAACTTTGAATCTCTTCTAATTATTACGCTTAGATTGTTTTTATGTAATACGTCAGTTTTATCCTCTTACCGCCTACTGCCAGCAGCGTATGACCATCGTCCGTAGTGATAAAACCAATCGGCACTGTATCACTGGAATCGGTCAGCTCCATAATCACATTCTGTTCCGTCAACATGCTGGCATACTTTAATGCGACGACAAGTAGCAGTTGTCAGACGAGCAATACGGCTCCTACAAATGTCTTACTCGTATGTAACCTGCTGCAGACTCAGTCCGAATGTTCAAGAATAAATCTTTCTGTAACACAACATTAATAGACCAATGATTACAATAATTAGAACTTAACATAACCTAGTAGAGGTCTAAATGTTGGTTCTAGACTACGGTTCCTACTGTCGCATAACTGTGTTATTAATAAATTAATGATTACAACGAAAATTAGATCTCTTAACGTTAATCTGACGCAAGTTGAAATGTACCACTACAGTTCCAGGCTACAGTTCTTACTGTCGTACAACGTATCATTGACAAATTAATGATCATAACGATAATTAGATCTAAACGTAATGTAACACAGGTTACAGTTCTCACTGTTAACACGCTCAATGGCATCATTTAAGTGTGTCAATGCTTATAAAGACAATTAGACCATAATCTCTGTGCACATCTAACCTATACATCCAGGACGCGCAGTGTTATCGTTTCAACTATGTATGTACATACATACATACCGCGTATCGAGTTAGGATCTAGCGTGTCCCCAGTTCGACGTGACCGAGCTGTCCCGATCTGTTTGTCTCCCGCGGCGGATATTTGACGCCCCGAACTTCTCGTCTGCTCTCTGCTGCTCTCGTCCACCTCACACAAACGCCTCCATATGTTGTTTTCTTGCCGTTCCCTCCTTTCCCCTCTCATTCCTCCGCCCACGCGTTTGCTTCAGCGAGGATGCGCGCCATGCCGACGATCACCGATTCGTCGCATTCACGGCGCGGCGTCCGCTATCCGCTCCCTTTAAGTTTCTTTCCCTTAAAATTTCTATAATTCATTATTTCTCAATCTTTGTTCCATTTCTTAATATAATTTTCTAAGTAATCTTTTTTCTATATGTTATATTAAATAATAAAAAATTAATAATGTGTCCAGTTGTTGGAAAATAACGAATAAAATTTTCACCCATCGCACTTTTTTTATCACAAACACCGTTATTTCATTAATTATTTATGAAAAACACAATTTAAGCTTGATCAATCGCAAAATTGGCCGCGTTCAGCAGACACAACTGTTGAGTTCGTCTTATCAACACTCTGCGTTGATTGGTTGGTTCTAAAAGTAAGAGCCAATCACGTTCGACTGCTACTCAGCGGCTTGGTCTGCTGAACGTGCCCAATTTGACGAGAAGAAGGCGGTATTGTTCGACTGGTTCGACATCGATTGCAAGCACGTGACGACAATCGAATCGTTTCGACGTCGATCTACATCGATATACAAAATACAAGTGTTTATCATATCAGTGTTTATTTGTTGAGGTTAATTCCTAGCTCTTCGATTGCCGAAGTAAATGCCGCGCTGAGTTTAATTATTTC